CGTACTTTATGTTATACTAAACCTATAAATACTGATCATTTGACAAGTAATCATGCTCATTTAACAAATTATAATTAAACTAATGAGTGGCTGTTGTTTAACTTTATTTGAAGTATTTTTCCCTAATTTAACATTAAGTACACGTCAACTGTCTATTAGGTTAATTCTGAAGATAAGTTTATGCTTCAGCTTATTTTGATGACTTTATCTTTTATCTAATTAAATGCTCCAGTGTAATTTAGTTTCCAGTGGCTTTCATTTATATTAGTTTGATTAATGTCATGTATAAAGAAAACAGTGTCAGATTATGAAATAGAAGGTAATCGTAGATTTATATCTTCAACATTCCACACTGTGTTTAACACTTAGATTTATAATATGTACTGAGGTAATTTCAACCTGTTTTTCTACACAACATTTTGCTCTTGTCCTCTGGTTGATTTAAGTTTTTATTGCTTTGATTCTATTGTTTGTTGTTTTGTCATTGTCTATTGGCTCACACTTTGAAGGTTATTGATTTACTTACTTTAAACTATTTGTGAACAAATAATACATACTTGAGATATTATAAAAGTCTTCATGGTTTTGTTGTGTTTGATGCTAACATCTTGATGTAATTCGACGAAGGCGTACTGGTAACTGGTGCTCTGTGTCCAGTTGCGTCACTACGCATCGTGTGTATGTTCAAGACAGAAAAGGGTGTTGTAGTTGTAACTGTTATGATGTTTATGTGGTTTATTCATATGCTTGTTGTATATTAAATGCGTGAGCCCTAAGTCTTGAAGAGCAAATGCAATTTTAAATAATGACAAAAAAATGTGAATTGGTTTGGTTTTTAATTTCGCGCAAAGCTACATGAGAAGCGATGTGTGAAGAAATATTATCCTCTGTGTGCTGACTGCTTTGCTTTCCACCTAGACCTTTCCAAAAAATTATGTTGTTGTTTAGCCGGAAGGAATTTTAACGTAACGGGTCGTGTGGCCTTAATATCTGGAACTTTTCTCAAAGTTTAGGTATAGTTTGAACCATTGATAAAAAGGGAGTTAGTCTTGAGTGTATTAAAATAAATTACTGAGTTAGCGAGTCTTTTAGTCATTTAATGAGTAACCAATGCATGATTTAGTCAGTTTGCCTGTTAATGTCAGTCAGTCCGTGCTGTGAATTCTGAGCTTGTATTTCGATGAAAGAACAGGGTTGCGAAAGAATTATAAAATAAGTTTGTTTTTGTTTTATTGTAATTAAGCACAAAGCTACACAATGGGCTATCTGTGCTCTGTCCACCACGGGTATCGAAACCCGGATTCTAGCGTTGTAAGTCCATAGACATAACGCTGTGTCACTGGGGGGCATCAAATAAGTAAAAATATCTGTTTAGCGTCAGTTACGAATTTAGGCCTATTGGTAAACGTTGGTTACACCAACTATGGAACTAGAAGTTCAATAAATAAGTTTTTTTTATCATTAAATGGACTGATCTTTCCATTATTGTTTTATCAAGTGGTCCAAAAGATTCTGGCCGGCAAGAAAAACCATTACAGCACTCAGATATCAGAAGAGAAGTTATTTTGGTAAGAATAAAATAGAAACCAGGCTCTCCTTCAGGATGACAAGTGCTTCAAGCGGGATTGAAAATATAATGAAATGATGAAGTAATAAAATGAAAATAAAAAAGAATGAAACAGAAAGTTAAGTAAAATGGACATTGAGACTGTGAAGGAGCTACTGATACTATAATAAACCAAGGAGACAATATACTGAGGAAGAGTCCCAGAGACCAACAACATTGATGGGATAGCAGAGAGCTAACTAAACATCAGGAAATAAGAAACAGACGAACATAAGGAGCAAAGTTCGGCCAAGAATATTGCATCTGCCCCTGTTGAGATAATGAGTTCAAAGCAGTCCACAAGTAAACAGATTCATTAATTGAAACAACCTGATCTGGTAATGAAATTAGTAAACTGTATCCAGAGATGAAGCAAAAAGATGGGTGATGCGAATACCAAGTGGTCATAACTACTCACTACTACAAGTGGTTAAGTTTATGATGGAGCACTGGTGTTAGCATCTTTTATAGGTGCAGTTTAGTGACCATCCCCCCTCCTATCTATCCCATTCAAAGGAGCATAATTCTCTCTTGGAGGTTATTGCTATGGTTTGTATTTTAAATATGCATATCAATGAATTTGGAAGTGCTATCAGTGTACACACTTTTCTGCCTTCCAACAGTAGCTTAATGTAAAAGTATTAAAGCTAGAAATTACATCAAGCATCATAAAACAAAGTTCATTCATCATTTTCTTCTTACTTCAGTACTGTTAAACACTGAGAGTTAACTAAAATATATTTAACATAATTATTAACAAGACACCTCAAACAACCTGAATATTTATCAAAACGGTGTATATTTACAGATAAGCACACACTTTAGACCATCAAAATAATTTTATTCATGAACAAGCATACATTTTCGAAGTAATAATTTACATAGCTTGAACCACAAGTTACTTTCATACTCATAAAAATTATATTGCAAATAATTAAAAGTGTGTTGTTTCTGTGAGGTTAAAAAAAATATTCTATGATAGTTTTTTATATAAAATTTTATGTATATTCATAATCAGCCAACCTTACCCCAAAGTAAAGTTTTATATTATTAGAATGAAAATAAATTACTAATAGTTAGCCAAATTTTTTAAATTTGGTTTAGAATTCTTTTAAGTAAATGATAGCTCCTAGAATTTCTATTCAGACTTAAAATTATCACTAACTTTATATCTGTTATTAAAGAATCTGTTTGTGGATCATTCAGAATAATATTTTCATTGTACCATTGAAAATCTGTTGTGACAAGTTTCCACATGGAAATTACAATAAGCTACTCTGTACATAAAAAAAGGCTAGACTTTTTTTTTGTGACTTTTATTGTTGTTGTTTGAAAATAATGGTTTTGTTTGAATTTTGCACAAAGTTACACAAGGGCTATCTGTTCCTAATTTAGGAGTGATAGACTAGAGGAAAGGCAGCTAGTCAACACCACCCACAGTCAACTCTTGGGCTACTCTTTAACCAACGACTGGTGGGATTGACCGTCACATTATAGCTCCCCCAGGGCTGAAATGGCAAGCATGTTGGATGGGACAGGGATTCAAACACACAACCCACAGATCATGAGTCGAGCACCCTAATCACCAGGCCAGAGAATAATAGATACATGGCCATTGATTGTGTCAAGTGCTTTTTTTAAAGCCACTGACACTCTTTAAGATATTTTATTGTAGTTTTTTTATAATGTAAGATAAAAATTATAAACACCTGCATTTTAACTGACTTGTTTCTAGGAAAAAAATCTGTGATTTTATAACATCCAAAAATGTTAGTTTTGCTGTACATTTTTAGAGCAAAGTTTGTTTTTTTTATAAACAGTTCATTTTACACAATAAATTTACAATTACACATTTTTCCTTCATAAAATCTAAATTGCCAGTTTGTCACAGGAAGTGAATGTCAAATTTGCCCAAATCTCTTTTCTGAACAAAATATTTGACCTTTTAAAATCTTGTATTCAATTTGTGTTTTCACATATATGTACAATTATTGTTTGAACTACATATATGAAAGAAAACATTAACAATTCTGTATGTCAACTACATACAATCCAAAACAGTAAATGATTACTCTATCTAAGCTTGTTTCAACACTACTTAATGTATGTATATTTATTGTTTTCATAAAATGAATACTAAGAGTGAAGTGACTATAATTCAGAAACAATATTTTATGTGTAAGATGTGAAACTTGATGTGTACAAATAAATTATCAGTATTTTGATAAAAGCATTAACACATTAGTTACTTTTGTTGATAATACCACTAACCATTGAAATTTAATTTTATAAATGACACAAACAAACACATTACTTTTCAGTTAACAAGAAACAATGATTGGTAACAATATATAGTTCTGAGAATATAGAAACAAAGAAATCAAATTTACAGTGAAAGAACGAAAATGGAGAAATAATTAAAAGATCTAGTAAGAAGCATCAAATCTTACAGAATGTTAACATACCTTAAATTGTAAAATGTGAAGAATTATATACTGCAACTGAAACCTTACAATGAATTTTACTTCAATCAGGTTTTACAGTTACAATATTAGATGACTGCAAAATACATATTCACATTTATAGTGACTTCTACTCTAATTGTACTGGTAATATTTCTCTCTGTTATAGAAAACTGAAAACTTTAATGGTTCACTTCTTTAGAAGAGTTATTAAGTCTATATTTATAAGATAATTCCTTCTAAACAGTATGAAACTGAGTATATTTGAACTAATAAGAATTTTCTTAATTTATAAGTCGTAATCCATTCTGTTAGAGATAAAAATTGAAAAAAGTGGTATCTGCAGTAGACATTGGCCAAAATATTAAGTCCATACAAAATTCAATACAATTTAAAAGAAAATGACTGACTGTGGTTAAAAACCTGTTTAAACAGTAAATAGAAAACTTAACACAAAATAAATAATTCCTGACCTCACCTTTAATATACTTTCAACACAAAAAGTTTAATATACTTACAATTATACTGATGGATTTTCCCTTTCTCTAAAACATTTCTTATTCCTTCATTGTTAACTGTTTCTGTACATATGAATATAAGATACAGATGCAGTTTGTAGAGTATTTCTTCTACATATAGAATTAGCATCAGCTTTACTTATCAGAGGTGTTTCAATATATTCACAATTGCATATTAAAGTTGTCTGTGAGAGAATTTCGTATCTTTTTTTTCATTACTTTTAAATAATGTTTTCAATGTTTATTTATTTGACTTTGATGATGTGTAAGTAATCAGATCATGAAACTTCAAATCAAAAGTTTAGCCTTTGAAATAAAATGGTTCAAGATACGGTTGGTAAAATGTATCCACATTAATTCTAAGGTTTCATTCAGTGTGTTATGGATGGAACACTTAGTAACTTTGACAAAATATTTGAAATGAATGCTTTACTTATAGACTGCAATACAGTATGCCAATTTACACCTTAATCATAATTCCATTCAACACTTTTACAATTTTACTTAGACTCAGACTTAACTTCATGAATTTCTCTCAGAATTACAAATCAAATTAGAAACATACAAATTTGTAATATCAATAACATTTTTAACACAAAAACTCAATAAAACTGTTAATAAACTACTCTTACCAAATGTAGAGCAATTACCTACAAGCTGATATTATAAGAATTCCTAGTAGACAACATCATGTCTGTAGTATCATAACAAAGTTTAGTGAAAAAAAAATATATCCATGCAGATAAAACAAACAATCAAAAGCCTTTGCTTATGCTTTTTAAAGAATGATAACACTCACTGCCTATGACACAAAGTTTTGCACAATATCATAGAGATGTGGAAAAAATGGAAATGTAAAATAAATACATGTTAGATTTATTGTACTTAAATAAAGTGATGTCTACATGGGTTGGTTATTTGATCATCGAGACACACAAGGACAGTTCCTCTAAATATAAGTTTCTTAACTTTTTGTGAAATCCATTACAAGAGATTGATTTTTCATATCTTGTAGCTTTAACATAAAAGAACAACTTTCATGGTAAATTTGAATTTTTTTTTAAACCAAGAAGAATATGACAAATATTATAAATGTTGCTATCAATCAATTAAAAATATATAACAAGAAGTTTATGATTTTATGTTTCAGTTAATCGTAACATAGGAAAATAAAGCTATAACAATATTATCAGCACATCATCACATTCTGTTACTTAATAAATAAGACAACAAAGCTTAAAAGTATTAGAAAACAGATTTGTAAGGGAAAAACTATAAACTTTTTTGAAATATCCATAAATATATCCATACACCAAGAGCTGTATTGAATGATTACTAAAATCAAGAGAATCTGAAATACTGGTTTATGTTGTTTTATTACTGAATTTTAAATTCAATGTTATGAAGATATTTCCTTCTCTAGAGATAGGGCAATTTATTAGTCAAAATTATTAATTGGAAAAGAATATACCAACAGAGGTATGAAAACATTTATAATATAGATAAATAAATAGACTAACTACCAAAAGAAAAAACGTGCAGTGTATCTCTCACTGGGCTTAATAATGCCTAATTTTTTGTTTTATATAAAATTTAGAAGTTAAAATTAATATTGTGTATAAATGCAAGGGCATTTGTGTGACTTTGTACCCAGAACGTTGTTTTACATAACAAACAAAAGTTTTATGATTAAAACATTATTATAACACCTTCAACAGAAATATGTATACTGAGATGCCACTTCATACTTTTGATGTAACTAATGATGTATAACTGTAATAAAAACATACTTAGAATCTTAATCTTGATGTCAGTTTATTCTTGAGCAATATAGTGTTTCACAACAGTGCAGTAATCTATGTATCACTTTTTATTTTGTACAAAATGTTTTGTGGTTTACATTAAAACATTACAAAGAAAATACATCTAAATATCCAAAGTTAATACACACTTAAAAGTTTTAACAGGTATAAACAGTGAGCACCCTCAAGAGAAGAAGTAAACAGGACAGAGTTAGGAAGGTCTAATAATCAAGAACCTTATCTTTTAAAACCAATCAAACTAATGTGAAGGTTTACAACTTGTCTATTAGGATTATTCACAAACAAAATGTAGGGTCAACAGCCAAGTCATCCAGACAGTCTTTAGTTTTGTAGGAAAAGCTGGAATGAATTTATGGCTATGCTTCAATATTTCTGTGCAATCATTCATTCATAAAGTATATCATAGTGTCCTGGTCTGTATAAGAGATGAATTCTAGGAGCTACGTCTTCAGGAAAGTTGTGGGCATTGACTTTCTCACTTTCACCCCTGTCCATATATTGAATTTTAACTCCAACCCCAAGGGAAAGGGTCAGGGCTATTACATGAATGTGGTCACTTTCCTTGTACATAGGTTCCACTTCCTTAAAAAGATAAAAATGTGATTAATGCTTTATAAATATTAGATAACTTCAGTTCATCCTAACATAACACCTATATAACATATGCTAGAGTTAGCTTCATAACACACACACAGCACCTACAATACATACAATGACTTGACTTCACTAAAATAACACAACTGCACTACTTTAGCTGACTTCATTTGATCACATGGGCACTGCAGCTTAATTATATGTATTGATTTAACTATTTTAAATGCACCTAGAATATATAGACTGGTCTCATTTCCTCATATACACACTTCAAAAACACTTTACATATATACTAATTTCACTTTTTCACACACATAAAGAACATCTATATTAATTTCTTTCTATTATATATATATATATATATATATGCATACATGCATTTAACTCAATCTTAGGCACAACACCTACATTACTTAAGTTAATTTCACTTCATCAAACTAACTCAGAGCTTACGTGACATATACTGGTTTCATTTCACCAAACAAAGCACATATATCATGTATATATATAAATATACACACACTGCTTCTCTTTATTACATATATCATAAACATACAGTATGTACATTACCATAAGCTTTTTATATTTCATTACAGACACAACACCCAATTATACTGTACATATGGTGGTTTCACTTCATCTGAAACACAGCAGATGCATGATATTAAGCTAATTTTATATCATAAACAAACGATATATGTACATCACATGTGCTGATTTTACTTTGTCACAGATACAGCAACTACATTACATATGACTTCAGTGCATCAGACACAGAAACAACCTTATATACACAGACTTCACTTCATCTCAGACATAGTCCTTACAGTTTATAGGCTAATTTTAATCTGTTAAGGAACACAGTGTCTGGAATACATATGATGATTTTACTCTATCTCAAATACACCTACAATACAATGAGTTTCTTTCATTTCATTGCAGACATGGAATGTATATTCATATGCTATTTTATTGTCACAACCATTATATCTATGATATGTAAAAATTGATTAAAAAAAATAGAAATCAGTTTATTTTCTTAGACCAACCATATCACATACATACATTACAACCAAAAATATGCAACAAAGATACTAAGAATGTAGGTAATCAGACATAATTTCTTTACATAATACCAACAAGTGCAATGCATCATCCTGTGAGCTTCAGCATAATAGTTTAGTAAAATGCAGGTAAGGTAATAAGTTGTCTGAAAGTGTTTTCCATATTGTTCATCCTTGAGAGGATCAACAGAATAAAAGTCAGTGGGCACTAGGCTAAAACTACATTTGGGATAGGGAAGAACTGCCCATCTTAACTTTTCAATTGCTGTCATTGCACAGCAAGTAATGTGGAACCTGCAATTATCATGCTAATATATTCCATTTAATGATGGGATACATTGATGATGTCACTGAATAGCAAGCAGTCAATGAGTACAGAACCCCAATTATCCTACCTTCATCAACAACTTGATTTCAGCACATTTACAGTTTCCATTTTGTTTTTTGTGTTGAATGTCACTAATCATAATTCTACTAACGGTGGAAGGATGTTAACATATTACCATAATTTACTCATAGCCAGTATATAGGAAAGAGTTCCATTTCTTTCTGAACACCTCTAGCATACACCAATTTCATTTTGTTAGAGACACAACATCTAATTCGTGTGTTAATTTTTCTTTAACAATCACACACACAACACATACTTTATATATGTTGATTTATCACAGACACAGCACCAATATAACATAAAACACTTTTTTTGCAGACATAACTATGATTAGTTGCAGTTTGTAAATGTTTTTGTTTTTTATTTCCCCAAATGAAATAAAATTGGCATCAAGTTAGACAAGTTTAGTTAAGTTTATTGTTTCGTGAGTATGATAGGCAACTACAAAATATTCTGATGACTCAAGTCTTTACTGAATATTATATATATATATTTATTCTATTCAAACAATGCACATAAACAAAGTGGCTAACTGGCTACTTAATTACTTCTAACATAATACCTACATTATATTTTATGCTTTTTACCACATATACACCACCTATATTATACAAGCTTATTTAACAATAACCAAAGTAAATATTGATATTATATGGTAATAACTTCAGCACATGGGTTAAAAATATTATATTTAACTATATAACAGAACAAAAAATTACTATGTTTTAACTAAAGCTATCAAAATTTTATACAAGAACATTAAAACAAATATAAAATTATTTACACAATATCTAGAAAAATTCTTATTAATAGGTAAGGATGTGTTAGGTTCAGTAGCCTAGATGCTAAAAAAAAGAGCTGGATGAATTAAAAAAATTCAAAAGTTCTTGGAAATATGATATCTTAATTTGAATTTGAAAATATAAAAAAATATCTGCCGATATAGAAAGAAAGATTAATCACTAATAGCGTTCTTACAGAAGAAAACTACCTCAAACTTCTGGTTTCTATCAATCTAATAGCAAGTGAGAAACAATGCCTGTCAGTTACATTGTGATTCAAGAACTATTATATGTATAAAAAGAATAATAAGATGCTTGCAAATTCTGACATATTTATTGTGATGAATTGGATGTTAAGGGTTAGCATGGTATATTAATATAAGTTTATTATAGTTCAGTTGAAATCATATTTATTGATTGACATCAACTTCACTGGTTTCCAAAATATTCTTTATCAACTTGTTAATGTATACCTGTAAGTAAAAGTAAAATAATGGTAGATAAATCCTCACAAGTTGATTTTTATAAAAAAAATAGCAAAATAGAATATGAAATAAATAAAACAATTGATATAAAAATTGTAAAACTTACAGTTGAACTTCATATTTTAAGTATCTTTTTTATTTTCAAAACTTCTAAAGCCATTTTAAGTGAATAATTGCACATTACCTGGTGACAGAATTCCACTACTGTCCTGTCACCTTCAATAAAATTGGAAAAGAAAGCTTCCTCCTTGCGTAAATAACCAGAGGTTAGGAGCCTGTTTAAAGACATAACTCAAAATAGTTGAACATGAAACCAAAGGATGGTAAGCTTACAATTACAATCTTCTTATTTAAAATTATTGTATCTTTAAAATTGCTTGTCACACATTCAGTATCCAAGCTTTATTAATGAAAGTTGAACATAGTAGAGGATGCTTCAAAAACTGTCACAAAAGTTATTCAATATTACTTCTACTATTCTCAATCAGCATTTCAAGACTATCCCTAAGTTAAGCTACTGAAAGCACAATCTGTTCTGGACAGTGTTCATTGATCCCCACACTATTCTAGATACTGACACCAAGCTTACTCAAACCACCAATTTTGTACCATATTGTTGGAAAAAGAGAGAAATACTGAAATAAAAACAAATGCTAATTTGTAAGATAAGAAATAATTTAGGTATGTAGTGTAATATAGTTTTGAAACACCCTGTAACATATCCAAACTTTCTTGAGTAACACCCATAATTATAAATGTGTCTTTGTTGAAATATTTGTTCCCCTAGAACAAGTAATTTTTAATATGCAATTCTTTTAAATATGGTGTTTTATTTGTAATCACCCTTTATTTCAATTGATTAAATAACTATCATGTTATACAATATACTGAAATAACAAACTCACTGTCCACAATTTCTATAATAAAAACAAAATAACCATCTAGAAAGAAAAAAAATGTGTTGTTAAGGAAAATGTCTACAATTTTTTATTCTATCTTACAAAAAGAATTAGCAGTTGGCAATTTTTTATCCAACAAATCAAATCAGAGAATGTTAAAAGGAAGATCACTTAAGTAATGATTATTAATTTCATGTTTAAATCTACATTTAAAGTTGTATATACTGGTATATTTTTTACTACAATGCTTATCAAAAAGGAAGATAGTCATGTGCTGGTATTAAATTTTATTTACACATAATTTTTGTTAAAACAGCTTATTTTACTTTCCATTCAAATTATTTCTTTACTCCCATATCATGAATTCCTACAGACTTAAAGTTTATTTTATTAAAAAACTGCCCAGAGATGTGGTGACTATCAGTTAAAAAAAAAAGACTTGGTCTTACTAGCATTTTACAACTCCCACTCCCTCTTTCAGGTTTATAGGCAGACCTTAAGCAATCACATTTTTAATCACCTGAACCAAATGACACACACACACACATATATATGTATATACAAACCTAATTCTAACTTGTTTTACTTCACTTCTTTTGTTATTTGAAATAATACAGTAACAAATACTCCTTTTTTAATTAATATTTACCATTAAAAATCTATCACATTTTAGTATATTTAAATGGTATTTAAAAGTTGGAATGTAAAAGTTTGTCTACATTTTGCTAATTTAATCCTCATTCTACCCAATTTTGACCACTTTTTTAAGACTAAATATAACACAGCTATTTTTAAAACAGCACTACTTACATAAAACATTTATCAAGAAAACTTGAATTTAATCATGTTATTACACTGTAACTGAATATGCATATATATGTAACAAAGTGAACATAATAAGAACTACAATCACTCATACTTTGCAATGCAGAAAGATTAGACTGAAAACTTAATATTCCAAACTTTACAACTGATTCTCACTTACCTCATATAAACCACTATGTAATCTGAATAACCTTGGTCATTTAATATATTCAGTAGTTCTTCTTCTGACATCTGTGACTCAATTTTATTTAGCACTTCCATGAACTGAGAAATTAAATAAAATTACTACCTAATCACGAACAGGCAAATGCACTACATTTTGCAAAATTAAAGTTCTAAAATTTTACTGATCTAGATAAAAAATATAAACCTTGAAGACAGATTAAATAGAACAGAAGCAGAGTAAAACATTATTATATCTGTTTACACAACCTTCTTGAGTTAAAAACATTTGGTAATGTCAAACATTAAGCTTTTAAACACTAAAAGTGACAAGTATTAAAATCCCAAAAATAATTAAAGGATGGTTTTAAAACCTTAATTTTTGAACTATAATAATTTAAGAAACACATAACTGGAAACAACAGCATTCAAGTATTGTTTCTTTAATTAAAATTCCAACTTAACATTTGTTCAAGTTCAAATCTTTAACAATTATGGAATTCATGTACATATTTATGCAGGATAAACATGTGGGCTACTCACATACGTATGCTATAAAGCTGTCTTTCCTTAAGTATATACTAAGTACTCACTACATGTACATTAGAAAACATTTTTCCCCTTTTAAATTGGTACAACATACCAGTACTTTAGCATTATTAAAATATAGCCATACAACTGGAAATTATTTATATGATGTCTTTACAGTGATTTAATAAAGTTACTAATGAACCTTAATGAAGTCAAATCAATTTTCTGTTCATTTCCTTATGTTTATCTTTTTTTTTTTTACAACATTAGTAATCATCTAAGTCTTGTAAAATTTAGATCAAAAATTTAATTTATATGAACAACACATACATAAAAGTATAGATAGATGTTTCAGTGGTCTAATATTTTTGCTCTAAATACTTAAATAGTTGTTTTTTAAACCTCCAAATTCTAGTTTTTGGTGCAATACCATTTACCCCAAAAAAACATATAAAATTATTTTTGCTTGTTTTTTCATGTTGACATTTTTTAACTTTGTGATCTTAAATATGAGTGTAATTTAAAATTGGATGATAATTTTTCTTTTTTATGTTTTGCAAACATTATGAGTGTTCTTGATACCTTATATTGCTTGAATATAACAGCTTTTCATTTATACATGACTTTTATATCTTCATTTTCCATTATAAAGTAATATATAATAGTAACAATCACAAAAAAGTTATTTTTTACTCTTAATGTATAAAATCTAAATGACATATTAATACTACAAACAATGACCATTACAAGTTTGCTAAGAAACCATTTTCAAAAGCTTAAAACAGAAAAACACCAATGTTTTTAGACTGATGCACCACCCATGCATAGTTTTATCAGGTCTAAGTGCTCATTGTAAATAATGCAATACCTAATAAGCTAACATTCTGGTGACACAAGTCTTTGAAAAACTTTCAAAAACATAATAAATTGCAATAAAGAAAAGTAACTTTTATAAAGAATTTCTTAAATGAGTTGATGATATGAAACTGATTGTTGTTGTTTAAACATATAAAAAGTTTTATATTCATTAAAAGATTAATGCTTTGATAGACATTTTTTGTTTTATCCATTATACTTTTGAACATTTCATACAACATTTGAGTTTTTTGTGATGGTCTGATAATATCAGAATATACAATTCGTGTATACTGTCTTTTATTTGAAGCTGTTATGACAAAAGTTGGAATGTTAAAATATCCTTGGTGCCTGACTTTTCTCTTAAAAAAATTTCTGATGAGAAAAAGTCTTGGCTGGTTGTGTGTCTACAGAAATCTTTGGATGTATCATTACAAAGAATTTTACTCAGCTATATCATAAGTGGTAATTATCATCTCCATATGTACATATTTTGTGTAATTTATTTTAATTATTAGAATTCTAAAGACTAACTGAAAAATTTTTAACACTGAAATGATAAAGTTATAACGATGAATTGTAGCTACTGAAATTGTAAAAGTTAATTTGAAGAATTATAACTACTGAAACTGTAATGCCTAATGAATTCATAACTATTTGAACAGTAAAAATTAATGTGCTAAAGGAACTGTTCATCTCAGTATGATATAGGGCTAAACTTGCATTTAGTACAACATTACACCTTGGCATCACATGGGAGGCTCTACTTGATTTATATGTAATTCCTGGAGTGTGGTCTTTTTTATTGGTGGAAACCACATACTCTATACCACAGTGGGAATTATATTATGGCATCCCTTAGATTCCTAAACTAAAATGTTTTACAAGGTCAACAGTTTTAAATACTGGTATTTGTAATCATCGTTTATGAGGTTTTTTTTATGTGCATATGACATTTACTTACTTAGCTGAAGACATAGAGTTTCATGATAACAATTAATGATGAATTCAAACATCCAAAAACTCAATTGAAAGTACATATATTTTTTTAAAAAGCACTGAAAATAATCTATTATTAATGCACTCCATCTCAGCAGCTTTAAACTTATCTTTGTAATATAAGTAACTTCTCTTTTATGGCTTACTGATACCTTACTGTTTTTAAACTTAAGATGTACCTTATAGTCTCCTATTGAAATGTCACAAATTCAAAATACAATATTTATTTTCTATAAACATTTATATCCTTTGAATAAATAATATAACATTATATGTACTTAGTAACATTCTGTAGTTTACCTTGTATAACAGGTAATGGCCTTCAGTATTTGGATACAAGTGGGTCAAATGAATAAAAATTGGATATTTAATTTTACAATGCATGCTTTTGTCTCCACAGTACTTATCTATATACGACATGCCTACAAATATGCTTCCCCCCTCTTTTATAATATATATATTCTCTACTGTATTGCACAGGTAATATATAGATAGATATGCTGTAGCCAAAACTGTAACATGCCATTTCTAGTAAAAGTTATTTGTTGGAATTTAGTATTGGCTTTATAGCACTTATAGAAGTCAAAGGTTCTACGTTCAAACTCTAGAAAGAACAGGTTTCTTAACAACCTGATTTGTTATAATAACTCATAAATTACATGAATGTTCATGAGAAATAAAAACTATAGAAAAACTGTCTACATCTTGTTTTGAATAACCATTTATATATTCTTGAGAATTTTTGACTAATGAGAGCTCCCCAAAAAACCATTTGACCCTCAACATGGATAATCATATTTGAAAATTTTCAAAATCTTAAATTATATTAATATTAATAAAGCTCCTTATGTTTTAATACCAAATTAAAAAAAAATCAATTTACTTAAAACAGAGAACAAAAAAAAACCTTGACTTCCATTTTTGTCCCCCCCAAATTTAATTTGTTCCTCTATCTTTCACCAGTATGCGATTGGTCATTTAAATAAATATACCAATTTGCAAGATATTGTGCATTGTCAAAAAGAGATGAATTTTGCAAAAGCTTAATTTAAGAATAG